CAAGAAAAACGCAAAGTAAATAGAAAAAACCAAAACAAACAACAGGTAACAGGAAACGGGAGAAGGCTCTTTACAAACGAGGAAGAGAGCTGGGCCTGAGAGGGTCAGGAAGGCAATCACTGCGGCTGCAAAACGCACTCATAAACATTTAAACACAAACAGCAGAGCCAAGCCCGGCTGCGAGTGCACAAGCACTCTCACTGCCTCACAGCCATTCTGGCTCCCTGCTTTCGGTGGTAACAATCAAGCGAGAGCTGAGATGGCACGCGAGGGTGACCATGACACGCCAGTCCAGTCGAGGAGGGCCAGGGGCCCGGCTCCGTCTCCTGTGTCCAGGGCAGGCCTCCGCCAGCAGCACTGTGTACGCGGTAGACCCGGGACTGGGTGGCAGCCCTCCCTCTGGGCAAGGCAGGGCACACCTGGTAGGGCTGTGCAATCATGTGCACTGCAGAAGCAGGTGGCTTCCTCCTCCTAACAGGAGGCACCATCAGAGAGATTTGAGGCACCTTGCTGGCTTGAAGATGGAGGGGGCCATGAGCAAAGGAATGCAGGTAGCCTGCAGCAGCTGAGAGCAGCCCCAGCTGGTAGCCAGCAAGAACCTGGGGACCTGGAAGTGCCAGGAAGTGAATCCCGCCAAGAAGAGCACCGTGCCTGTTACAGAGCTGCCCTGGGACCCTAAGGCTGAGATGAGGCTGGGGTGAGGGCCCAGGCTGGCTCACTAGGACATGGGCTCCCACAGAGCAGGTGCTTGGGCACTGCTGCTGCTTCCCAGACCACCTGCCTGCCCTGCCTGGGGGCCTTGTACCCTCCACAGCGGCCTGGCCCCAGAACAGTAAGGAAGCTGGCCAGGGCCTCGGTACAGGGCCCCTCAGCACACGAGCTGTGTGGAACATGTGCCATGCTGGAGCCCTCCTCCTGCTCTCTGGGTACCAGCTACACCATCAAAACCCAATTTATGGATGTAAACATCTCAGTTTTGTAATGACAGTGCTTTCATTCACTCCTGATCCTAAACTTTTTCACCTAAGCAGCAAACTACAAGTACTTGCTTTCCACCGAAGTGAACACTATCCCTCCTCCCACAGTCATTTACTTGAATCCACTCAACATGAAGAGCAAAGTCACATCGGTGACCACAGAGAGGGCCTGAGACTTTCCCTTGAAATACAAAGCTTAAAACTATGTAATTTTTTTTCTTTAATGTTACTTTAAGAAAACTAAGCCACACCCAAGTGCCATGTCCAGCGGCGATGCCTTCCCACCAAATGTTCACCCAGGCAGGAGCAGCAGATCTGCCCTGACCTTCTCCGGAGAGTACTACGATCGGCAAAACCCTTCCCTGGCAAGGGTCAGCCTGTCACTGCTGTCCTAGCCCCGAAGCCCCAGCCTCACAGTGCAGGCCCCAGCCCTCGAAGCCGGGAGTGGCCTGAGCAGCTCTTGGCCAGCTCCTCCGCTACAGCATAACCAGGCTTGCAACTGCCCCGTGCAGAATGGCAGCAGCACAGCGGGCAGAACAGGCGGCCTGGTGATTCAGTGGGTGGGGTGTCCGAGCACGAGCAAATTTCCTCTGCGGTTCGGGTGGCAGGAAATATCTGGGCAGTACAATCACTTGTTCCCTCGCCAACCTGGTACCTTCAGTGTCCTGATGAAACCCAGGAAGCAAGACCCACTTGTGCCACCAGCACCCTTCAAGGAGGACTTCACAGCTCTCCCGTCCACCCTGAAATCCACAAGGGGAAAAGGAGAGAAAGGCAACCAGATGGGCGACAGTGGCACAGGGCAGGCCTAGCCCCGAGCCTCCAGCCCTGCCCACCTGTGGGACCTCATGAGAATGTACTGGAGCAGGACCTGCTGCCCCAACTTGGGTCCCACAATGCAGGCGGGAGCCAAAAACAGGAGGGTCTCCGCTGCCGCACTCCCTCAGGACAAGGGCAGCATGGCAGGGACCCATGGGCCACCACTGGCCACATCCCTCAAACTGACACAGCACAGCTTCTTGCAGACTTCAGGCAGGAGCAGAACCTCCACAGAGGGCACAGGGGACAGTCCCAACACCTGTGAGAAGGAGCTACACACACTGCCACACTGCAGGCAGGCCTGAGGACCACCCTGCACCTGCCAAGCCCACATGTGACACCAGGTGGGGCAGGCTGTGGACACCTGCTGCGAATAGGGCTGTCCTCACCCAATGCACCAGGACAGGTAAGGCCGAGGACCTGAGGTCACCGTCCAGACTCACTCAGGCATGACTTTCTTTGCATCATCTCCAAGCTCAGTGGGAGATTTCCAAAGCCACTGGGACTGCCCAGGGCAAAGTAATGGGTCAGGCAGGATCAGGAGGTCAGGGGTCAGAGGTGTGAACACAGGAAGGTGCAAGCGACCAGAGGCTGCCCACATCTCAGTCAGCAGTGCAGGTAGAGAGCACACCGCACACTGTGCCCATGGCTCCCAAGGTTATGGAGCATTCAGCTAAAACTGGAACAAGAATCAGAGGCAGAGGCAGCGGCAAATCTCCAGCAAGGCAGGCACCAACCAGTTTCCAAAGACAGAAAAATCCCCAGAAAAGCATTAATGGTGCAGGCTGCTATGTGGGCTCCTAGGCAGAGACCCCGTGTTTTCAGGAGGTACAGCTGATCCTCTGCTGAGGACCAACTTCTCGCCAACAAGGTCCTCGCTTCTCTCCTTTCTGCGCAACACAAAAGTGGGGTGCTGGCCTAGCCCGGCCTGATGGGCAAGCTAATGAACAAGGCAGCTTCCAGACAGGGCTCTTCCTTGATGCCGTTTGGTTAGCACACAGGAGACCCAAGGGGCACATGGATGCTGTTCTGGTCACCCCACACCCCAACACTTGCTCGCATGGTCCTGGCTCACTACCTCTTCCCTGCCTCCTCTGAAGGGGAGGCCAGACAGCACACCCCACTCTCCCAGGCACCTGGCAGGCAAAGCCTGCAAGACTCCCCCTTCAGGCAGATGTGGAAGGAAGCAGCTTCACTCGGGGTCTCTGCTGGGCCTGTAGCACATGCTACCTGACACAGACAAGGAAGGCTCACTCAGGAAAGGAAAAGGAGGGTTTGGAGAGCATGAAAACAGCTGCTCTATCCTAGGATGAGGATCCAACCGCGCTGCAGACTTTCAGAGTGCCCCTCTAGTCCTAGGATACTGCCTCTGAAATGAACCGAACAGGCGGGGTGTGGGCTCACAGAGGGGTGCAGGTCGGGGAACGAAGCAGAAATCGGGGGGGAGGACTGGTGGGAGATCACTGAGCTCAGGCCTCAGTCTTTGGCTGGGGTGAGGGTGAGCTGAGCAAACAGGGAGATGTCAGGGAGGGTTAGAAGGTGATGGCACCTGATGGAATGCCTGGCAGAGGTGGCAGAGTGGTCCATCCTGCTGGCTGTTGGGAAAGGGCCCTAGCATGGTCAGAAGGCACCTAGATACCAGTCAGTTTGAGAGCAAAGTGGCTGAGGAGTGGAGGCAGAAGGGTGGCATCTGATCAATGCGTGCTGTGGGTCTGCACACCTGGATGGCCAGTGTTCACACACGCTAGATGGGGCCCTCAGACGAGCCCCAAGTTTCAGGGTCAAAATCAAGTCTATGTATTTTCCATGCCAACCCTACCCAGGACCCAGCCACAGCACTTGACCTGCTGTGGTTCCCATGCCAATGAAAATAACAAGAATGCTGCAAATGAGGCTGACTGGAAGTCTTCGCATTATGGAAACTTCAAGAGCCCCAGCAGCACGCACAGGGCAGGATGGGGGGTGCTGTGGAGACACAAGTACAATTCTGGGCAGTCAGAGACTGAAACACAGGCTTGGAGCCCAGACCGGATCTCTGGGGTTCTTCCTACTGCCAAGAGATCCGAGTCCACCATGGTCACCTAACACACTGGAATTCTCGAGTGGCCCAAGAGGTGCCCTAGCATTGCCCCCCTGTCTCAGACAGCCTGACCAGCACCAGCCAGGGGTGACAGCCAAGAAGGGGGGCAGCCCCAGCTCACGATCTGGGAATTAAGAAAAGTAACACTCTACTCCAGCAGGTGAAGGAGTTGCAGAGCGGCTAAGGCCCTGTCACACACACTTTAAGGTAGTATCAACTTGGGTGTTTCCACACACTTCAAAGAGGAAATCAACGGGGCTGGAAGCAAGCAGAGCTTCCTTTGAGAGGACTCCCAACGCACAGCCAACGGGAGTGCGTGGAGGATTCCAGGAACTGTGATAGCCCTACAACCCCAGGAAATCCTTCCACCCCATTTAAATCGCAACAAAATTGAGCAAGCAAAGCTCACAACTTCAGTCCCGACGTTAGGGGCACAACCTGTACACGATTACTCTGTTTTGCAAACTCAAGAACACAGGAAAGGCGAAGACGACGCTGGGTTAGCGCATCACACCTGGGCAGCCCCACCTGGGACCACCGCAGCCCCCGCCCTCCTCCCCACTTCTCTGCGCTCCTTGCGGTCTCTAGGACACCAAACCCGCACAGACTCTCAAAGGCCCTCTGGGCTGATGGGTAAATATGTTAAGATAAACTTGCACGTACTTATGTCTTATCAGATGTAACAAATAAAGTCTTAATTTTGGGAGTGCTCTTATTAGTCAGCCTTTTAACTACTGCAAAACCATGTGTTTTACCTTCATTTCTGCCCAGAATTTAAACTTACTACGTAACTCCACTCCATTCACAAATCACTGCTCGCTACAGTATCACTGATGGTTAAACTGTATCAGTGACGAAACTCTACTCGTCTTTAAAGGGGTTTTGTAGCAAAGAAAAAAAGTTACTATTTTACCATCAACCTGATTGACGTTCCTGGCAACACTTAAAAATGCTGCAGTTGGGTCTTCGTGAGACCACACCCTGCGCGCCCCGCTCTGACAAGAGGCCCCTAACTTTCCTGGAGGGAGCAGAGGGTGCGCCTGGCAAGTGCCCTTTCCGGTCCCAGGCGGAGGAGGAGGAAGGGCGCGGGCAGGAATCAGGCCCCGGCCGGCGGGCGCACTCACCCCTGGATGCCCGGGCTGTACGCGCGGCTCTTCCACGGCGTGCCGGGCCGCGGCGCCTGGGCCTCGGGGCCCCCTCCGTCCAGAGTGGCAGCGCGGCTGCCGGACAGCAGGTAGTTGAGGCCGTAGGTGCTGGCCTTGTTCTCGCGTTTCCGCCGGCCAGGGTGGAACTGGTGCTGCAGCGGGGGCGTCGGCGGGGAGCCGGCGGGCGCGGGGGCGCGCGGCCCGGGGATGCCGTCGGCGAAGCTGAAGAAGGCGCTGCTGCTGCCGCCGCCGCCGCCGCCTCCGGCCCGGCCGTTCGAGGCGCCGCTGGACGACGACGAGGAGCAGCCAGGGCTCTCGGTACCCGACTCGGCGTTGGACGAGGACGACGAGGACGACGACGACAGCGACGGCGACTTGTGCAGGCGGCGCGCGCCCTCGGCCGCGGGCCCGAGCGCGGAGAGCAGCACGGGAGGCGGCGCGGCGGGGCCGGGCGGCGCGGGCCCGGACCCGGCCCCCGGGCCTCCGCGCTCCGCTCCGCGCCCCGCTCCCGCGCGCCGCCCGGCCGAGCCCGCAGCCGCCGGGTCCAGCGCCGGCGAGTTGAGGCAGAAGTAGGACGCGAAGCCCGCGCCGCCGCGGCCCACGCCCTGCGAGGTCTCCCAGATCTGCATCCACAGCGCATTGGCCGGGCCCTTCTGCTCGGGCTGGATCCAGGCCACGCGCGGATCCATGCACGCGCGCCCGCGCTCCGCCCCGCCGCGCGCGGACGGACGGGCTGACGGGCCGACGGGCGGACTGGCGGGCGGGGAGCGGCCTCGGCGCGTGCAGTGCGCTCCGGTCCTCACGCGGCGCGGGGCGGGCACGGGGCCGGCGGCGGCGTTGCACTCGGGCCGCGGGCAGAGGCCATGGATGGGCGGGGACGGCGAGGGGGCGGGGACCGCGGAGGCGCCGCCGCCTCAGTCACGCCCGCGCCGCCGCTCCGTGCTCCCGCGGCAGCGAACACACACCCGCGGCGGCGGCGGCGGCGGAGCGCGGGGCTGGGGGCGGAGGGCGCCGCCGCCTCCGCTCCTGTGAGGGGCGGGAGCTGCGGGACCGCGCGGCGGCGGCGGCGGCGGCGGCGGCGGCGGGGAGCACGGCCTCCCTCGCGGGCCGCGGCGCAGTGCGCACGCGCGGCCGATTTCAAATCCTCACTAGACAGCGCCGCCTTGGTTACCGCGCTTGCGCGCTGTGCGGCTCGGAAAGCGGCGCGACTGGGCGGGGCTAAGGAAGACCGTGGCGGCCGCTCAGCCCCAGGCTGGACTGCTGGGTTTGGGAGCGGGAGGGGGGACGCCGCAGCGCGCAGGCTGGATGTGCGCACATGCGCGCTCCCAAACGCGGGGGGCTGGAGTCCCGGCAGCTGCGGGGCAGAAGTGCGCATGCGCAGAGCCGTGGCTCTCGCCAATGGAAGTTTCCCGTATCCAGATGCTGACCTCTGTGCTGGGCTGCGAGATGGTTGCTTTCCCCGAGTGCTGAGGATCTGGTTCCAGGGGAGGAGGTGTAGCCAGCACTGTAAAAGACAACTTTGAAAGTGTGTGTGTGTGTGTGTAGATAAGCAATTTCTCCTTTCTCCTACAGCTCACATCCACAACTCCCTCCTCTCCTCAGCCCAGGAGAGACAGAACAGGCAGACACCAGCCTCAGGAGCTAGAGCCCGGGTTCCGCTCCACAAGAAAGGGCTCAGCGAGTTTAAGGTGGCTAGAAATGATGAAGCGAGCTTGGGGATTTGCATTGTTATTCTGTGTTCTCCCCCAACACACACACACCCCATTTCTCACTATGAAAGACCCTTGTCCCATCTGGACCAGCAGAGATGGTGATTTAAAACGAATAGTTCCTTTCAGCACCCAGAGCTAGCTTTGCACATAAACGCTTTTTCCTTTTTACCAAAGTATATGACCTCCTCTGATTTGGTCAGCCGCCAGTAAAAGAATCTAATAGGCAAGTAATAGTTTTGATGAGCCAGCCAGAAAGGAAACCCTGCCGTCTGTCTGGTCTGTCCGAGAGCCGTTCATCTCAGCAGCCACTCTGGAAATGGACTGACAGATACCTTAGCCAGCTGGCTCTAGGGATGCCCCAGTGACATGGGGGAGACAGTGTAAGTCCCAGGCTGCTGGATGTCACATACACGAGTTTCTGCTTCCCAAAATCAGGAAATGCATTCAAAGAAACAATGGAGGTTAACAGTCAGAAAAACTTATCAAAAGAGAGAGCTCCTTGGGCCGGGGATTTAGCTCAGTGGCATATGCACCTGCCTGGCAAACTCGAGGTCCTGAGTGGGATCCCCAGTAACTCAGGAAAAAAGAGAGAGAGAGAGAGCTCCTGAGGGACAAGAAGGGTCCTGAAAATGAGTTACCTGAGAGCCCACTTCTTAATGGAAGTTTTATGGAGCAAATCACAAGCTGGGTACAACATGGTTCTAAACTACAATCAACCAATAAGATTGCAAGTATAGCCACTTAGGAAATACTTATCTAACGGGGAAGCAGGTCACATAGCAAGTGCACATGGAAAGAACAAAGCACCTTTTAGAAAGGGATGGATCAGGAGGCCCTGGTCACCCACCTGGGGAACTGACATCTATCTAGACTTTATTGGACCGGGTGATACCAGTTGCAGTATAATCTTTAAGTTATTGTTTATCCTGCAGGGAAGCCTGTAGGCCTGGTCGTTCTATCTTTCTCTTGAGGCCTCCAGCCACAGTTGTGCTGTGTTCCAGTCTGTACTGACTCCCTCAAGGATCTAGACCTGTCTCACTACCTCTAGTATTTCTCCTTAACTTAGCAATCTGTAATACCAGCAACTGTCAGGGACACTTTTGTATCCCAGAGTCTCTTACCGCTTCTGTTTATGGCATCAGCTGCCCATAAACATTTTCAGTGGTGAAAGGGAAAAGGTTGTCTGGAGAAGTGAAGAGTTCAGCCTGGTTTCCCGCCAGCGAGGGCACTCCAGGAACCCACTCCCTCCCTGGATCCTCTTAGGTTGCTCGTTTGGGTGGGGAACAGACGTCCACCTTTGGAGGGGCCATCTTGGGGCACTGACTGCCTGGCAGTGCCATTGGGGCGGGGGTGAGGCAAGCTCCTTCAGCATTTGTGGGCATTTGAACTTAGTCCAGGTCATTACGGATAGGAACAAGTTTCCAGGCATTTGCTTTGTTGGTTTGGAGACTTGATGTCGTTGGTTTGCTTCCGTTCACTTGTTTCTTCTTTGACCTCTTACATCTTTATTCTAGGACAGACAGTAGGGTTTCAGTACTTTCTAGAATTATATGAATCAGTTGGGGCTTCAAGCCATTCTGAGGCTTGTTCATAAATCAGTATAGCGTTCAAAGTTCTTGAACTATTTGTTGACAAAAAAAAAGTTTGAATTAAGAAAATAGAGACACTGGTGTTGTGTCCAAACAGCTCTGTGATGAATTGTCCAGGAATAAAAGTGTGTGTCCTGGTTGGCAGCTCCCTAGAAAGTTTTAGCAACGTGTGACTTAGATAAAAGTGATTTTTATCACAATACTACATGATCTGTATAATTGAAACTGTGGTTTGATTTCACTCTGCTGTCCTTAAGGAGATTCTCTGGAGTAACTTTGGTCAGGAAGACACCCATTGCTGCTTCCTGTGCCCTTTTCTGGATTAGTGAGAGGCACAAATAAATTCCTTTTTTATCCACTGAGCACAGCTTCTTATGTTGGTGAGTGCATTTGCATTTAAATTTCCCCTTCTCTGAGGGTAAGTCTTTGGTTCCTTTTAAACTGGTTAGGTTTCAAAATGTTTACCAAAAGTTGCTTGTTGGAAATTGACTTTTGTCCCCTGTCACTTCCATTCTACAACTAGCAAAATGAAGACTTTTGACTACAGGTGACTTTCCTCTGTTTTTCTTGGTGGGGAATGTTTTTAAACTGGATTTTGTTTTGTTTGGCTCTTTGCTTTGTTTTTGCATATTAGAGATCTTGAGCAATAAAGCCAGGATACATAAACTTATGACCAGCTATGTCTCAATTATAACACAATGAAAAATGCCTTAAGATCTAGGGCAAAAAACTTTTAGGCCTATAATAAGTTATGACAGAAAAAAGAAAAACTCTGCAAAAATTCAAAGGCAGATTAACTGGGCAGGCAGTGTCCTTTGAGATGTATATTTCTCATCTTGCTAACTAGGAGTTCTACCTCTAGACATCCATACTTAGGATTGAATAATGTCTAGTACTATAAAAAGAAAAATCATGCCTATAGTATAACTTTTTAAAATCTGGTAAATGGGGCTGGGGATTTAGCTCAGCGGCATAAGCGCCTGCCTTGCAAGCAGGCAGTCGTGAGTTCGATCCCTGGTACCGATAAAAACGAAAAAGATCAAAAAAATAGATAAAATAAAATAAAATCTGATAAATGATATTTAAGACTTTGTTTTATATGTGTAGGTCGGTGCACATGTATGTATTGTATGGAATATTGAATATCATCAGTGTTGTCACAGGTTGGGAGGAGAACAATTAAAACCAGGACAGGGAATTTATAATATTATTTATGATGGTCAACCAGAGTTAACACAAGAAAGTGCAGGAAATCTGTCCACAACACTAAAGACCCGGAATATTTAGCCAAGGGCCTGAATCCCACAGCAATGTCCTGCATGAGTCCAAATGAAAACCTAGAGCTCATGAGTGCCTCCCACGAGTCCAGCTGGAGGTCTAGAGCCCACGAGAAGGACTCATGCCAGTCCATTTCATGGGTCTGTGCTGGGAAGGCCCAAAGGTCAGCGGTGAAAGCTAGAAAGTCTATGCCAGCAGGATGAAGGAGCTGTACTAATAAGTTGAGGGTTCTATGCTGGAGCCGAGAAGTCATGTTCATAATAAAGACCAGGGCTGTCCTGTCCTGGCAAGCATGAGGTCGTGAGTTTGATCTGTGGAACCAAATATATATATATATAAATTTTTACATAATATTATGTATATTATATATTATATTTATTTTATATATATTTATTTTGTATATTTTAATGTTTCAATAATAATTCCTTATGTTGGCTACTGATTTGTTATAGTTAAATGTTTAGGAAAATAAACTCTTAGGAAGTTCATATTTACTTGGATATCTGTGTAAAGTTTTGTTTTATAATTCTGGTTATATAAACTACTATCATATGATTTTCCTTAGCTTAAAAGTGTAATTATCCTGGCATAACGCAGCCTTGATTATTGTGTTAATATGTTATAAAGATGCATTGTTTTGGCTACATTATGGTCATAGTCATGTAACTGACAGAAGGCATTTCCACTTGGTAGATAAAGAGACCACCTTGCTCAGACATGCATGTTCTTCATTGGTAAACTGGGAGTTGGGTTTTGCATACTGTGTTCAAGCCTGTCTACAGAACCCTAAAGGTGTTGCTAAACTGTTCTTCTTGGTCCTTTGCACCAGAAGTTGAACCCAGGGCCTGAGGCTTGCCAGGCAGGCACTATGCCACTGAGCCACCTCCCCAGCCCCATACTTGGTCTTGACATGAGCAAGTTGTGTGTGTTTTTCAAATGCTAATTTTCCCTTCACTGTTTGCTCCATCTACCTTTCTGGCAGTGCTAAGCTCCTTTCACTGAAATACTAGCTTTAGTGCAAGTCTGCTGTACAGACCTGATTTACTTTGCTCTTTCGCTTGTTTAATGGCTGCATGTAAGCTTTGTAACTCAAAGTTCAAGTGTTTTGTCAGATGTGATAGCATATTCCTGTAATCACAGTACTCGGGAGGCTGAAACAGGAGCATTGCCACGAGTTCAAGTCCAGCCTGGACTCTACAGTAAGACCCTGTCTCAGGAAAACAAAAAAACAAACCAAAACAGAAGTTCAAATGTATT